AGAAAGGAGGCACTACGATTGGCATGTATATGTGGCGGGGGGCATGGGGAGGGCTGTACAACACAGAGAAGACAAGTAGTGATTCTACAGCATCTAACTACGCTGATGGACAGTGACTAATGTGGTATGTGTGGGGGACTTAGTGATGCGGGGAGTCTAGTAAACATAACGTTCCTCATGTAATTGTAGATTAATGATACCAAAATAAAAAAATATAAAAAGCCTAAGTATATACATGTATGCTTACATATGCATAGAATACCTATTCCTGGAAGGACAAACAAGAAACTCATAATTGTCCTTGAGAAGGAGAACTTCTCAAGACAGGTAAGAAGGAGATGGTTTTTATATATTATAGCCTTTGGTATTATTTGAATGACTTTTTTACCATGTGCTTGTACCTATTTCAGTAATTTTTTAAAGTTTACAGTAAATTTTATATTAAATTGCTTTTTTCAAATTATCAGTGTTTAATTCACTGGTTGGGGAACTGAAAAAGTTTAAGAAAATGCACATCTATACTTTATGTAGCATTAGAAAGATGCTAATAACGTCACCTATTTTCCTCTTCTAATAGCTCACAGACACAGACCTGATTAAACAGTGTATAGATGAATGCACAGCCAGGATTGAAATTGGACTGCATTACAAGATTCCTTATCCTAGGCCAGTAAGTGTGACTCCAGTTAACATGTGGTGGGTAGTTTCCTCGTTAACACAGTTATTTCCAAGAATGCATACCAAGAGGGCTAGTGTTTACCCAGAAGTCTAGAACTACTATAGGAGGCATGCTGTAAATAAGTTGTCCTTGCATGCCACCAGCCCATTATAGCAAACTAAAGAGTTAATGAATACCTTATTTCTCCTTTGTAGACAACTTTCCCACATACAGAAGGGAAAGCCAACTCACATTTATATAGCTTCTCTTCTTTTACCATTATTTGGAAATATATTTATTTTCCTTATTATAAAAGACAGGTTTGTTAATAAAATAATAAAGTTCAAGCATTAAAGGGATGCATAAGATAGAAAATGAAAGATGTCAAAAATTCTAACCCTGTGGAGGTGACCACTCTGTTAGGTTGGGCTATATGATATTGCCAGTAGTCCACTCTTGATCTACAAAAACAGCAATTTTATATTGTATTAGCTTAACCTAATTTTTGGTAATATATCCTTTTAGTCTCTTTTTCTATATTCATATATATATATACATTTTCCTAAAGTACATGGCATCCTGGGTGTACTATTGCCAACTTACTTTATTTCATCTCTTCTGCACACTTTTGCCTCTGTCTTTTTTAAATGGTTGCATTGTATCCAGTTGTAAGAATGTGCCATAATTTAACCAGCATCCTTTTCGTTGGCATTTGAGTTGGTCCCAGCTGCTTTCCACTATGCACAGAACATCTTTGTACACACACATTTTTTTTCTCACTTTCTTTGGATTCTTCTCATCTCACTGGCTCTGTGATCATTTTTTCTCCATGTAGGCGGTACAGCAAAGAAGAGCACAAGCTCTGGAATCAGGCAGATCTGGGTTCAAATCCTGGCTCCACCTCTTAATGTATAATCTTGAGCAAGTTATTTAACTTCTGAGCCTCCATTTTATCATTATAAATATTGGAGTATTTCCTTAGGTTATTTTAAGGATTAATGTGTGTAAAGATTTTAAGGATTAATGAATCAGTATAGATTTAGTGCTTAGCAGAGAGCATGGTACTTAGTAAACTCTCAATGAATATAAACTGCTACAATGACTATAATTCTTAATATCATCATTATTCTTATTCTTATTCTTCAGATTCATGTGCCTCCAATGGGCCTTACCCCACTACGAGGCCGAGGATTTAGAAGCCAGGAAAAACTGAGGAAACTTTCCAAACCAGTATATCTCAAGTCTCACGATGAAGTTTCCTAACCCAGAAGAAAATTTATTTCTCAGAATGATGAGCCAACTAGGTCTTGAATATAAACCAGATGACAAAACCCTTTTCCTTGATTAGGGGCAAAAATTCAGATATTTTCTTAAAAACCTCCAAAATATTGGTACTCACCTACAATGTGTGCTCACACATCCCTACAGTTGGCCAGGATCTTGCTGCCAGAGTGGACAGCACTAACCCTAAAGTCCTGGACTTTACACCCTCACTGAAGCACCATTTGGAAACAAGACAAAGGCCTGTAGGAGGAAGACTAAAAAATGACAGTTTTTCAGGGGAATGCCATTCAGTAGACATGCCAGCTGACACACAGAAATTAGCCAGATACTGGAATTTCTCATGGCTACTCTAAAAATATATACTACCCTCAGAATAGTTTTAGATATTTTTTTTTTCAGGTTACAGATTTGCTTGAAAGTAGGAGTTTTTTTTTGTGTTTTGTTGTCTTTGGACCCTTCCAGCTTCCAGATAAGCTCACCTTAAAAAGTGCATCACTATAGGTATGTTCACCAATTTTGATGATGGTTTCATGGGTATATACATGTGTCAAAACTTGTACACTGCATGTTAATTAGCCTCAATAAAGCTATTTAAGAAGTTGTGAATAAATGTCCAAAAAATACAAAAAAAAAAGTGCATCACACTGGACTGATCATGGGTTGTCATGGGAATTTTATGAGACCCATCCCTGCCCCTGAGATATATATACACAAAAGCACGTCTTAAATTCATATGTTACTTTATCTTAAACCTGTGATTACTTAGGTTGAACTGAGGATCAGAAAGGCTCACCTGAAATTCACACTATATGCATTATGAGTATTTTACCTTAATATAATTAGAAAGTACCTGGGCTAAGCTGGCTTTCAAATAATGTCTAAACAGAAATGGAACAAAGAGAGATCAAAACACAAAGGATTTACATGAGGAGTCAGCTGAGGTTCCCAAGGCAAGTCATTTGTACACAGCATCATTCCCTCTTACCTCTGAAGAGGATGAGCATCAGCAGTGAAAACAAATCTCTATCAATTTTGTTCTCTGTATTCTTTTCCAAAATGGCCTTGTGACTAATAAAAGCAGCAGTTGATATCTTCCTGCCTGTACCTAGATTTAGAATATCCTTGCCACTCAGATCCTCTAATTCAAAGTAAGTGTTATATTTCAATCGGAAAACATGTTTCTGTGAACAGGAGCATACTATTTCATGTTCAGGGAAAAGTACTACAGGATTTGGTAATGACACGGAGAACAAATAATACTGTATCAGTGGATTAATAGCATATGCATACTTAACACAATTGCAAATACAGACCTATGGTGAAGAGAGACAGGGAAATTTAAATGTTTTGACAGGTGTGTGGGCCACTCAGCACATACCCCACTGTAGCTTGAATTGGGAGACATGAATCTGCCGTTCCATCAGTCACTCTCCTTCCATCTGGTCTCTGTAGAAGTATCTCTGTATCCAGAGGTGATTCTAATGTTTAAGTATTTCTCATACAACACAGGTCCTGTGAACTCAAACCAACCACTTCATCCAGTGGGCAACCAGTGAAACAATGATCTGTTCTTGCACTGGAGGAAAAACTGACTATGCTGGACCAAGTGAGACATGGCTTGCGCATCTCCATGTGGTCCCTTTCTAAGTAATTCAGGGTGATTTTATATAATTTTTGTCCTACTTTGTTGAGTGTAGAAACCACCCTTCCCACTCAGCCTCCTCCAAGATGGAAATCCATCTAATGACTAGCTAGCCTGAGTATCTTGTGTGTGCCAGGAATCTTTACCTAAATGTGAACATTATATGCCTAACCACCCTTGCAAAGATGTGTGTTCTATTACACAATAACATAATTGTCAGTTTACTACCAAATCTTCCATGTAACCTGTGTTTGTTAATAGCTTCTTTTTTTTTTTCATTTTCTCTCCAAGACTTTGTTTATAACATCTCCATTTTGGTCTTTTAAAGTCAGAACCTCTCTTCTGTACATCCTCTCTTTCAAAGAAATTTTCTTCCAACACTGACAAAGGCTGAAAACTATTTAACCAACAACTAGATTTTTAAAGAGCAAGAACTAGCTTGGTGACAAGGTTCATCTGATGGCATCTGCTGAGCTATTTATAGGCTGGGCCTGCAGCTTCTCACTGAGGGGAGCTCTGGCTATTTCTGCCACAGGACTGCAGCCTCTAACTAACCAGGATTTCTGAAGAGCATACTGCTCTTTCCTGGGAGGAGACATTAATTACCACATTGGCCCCAATAGAAAATGACCTCAAATTTAGGGCAACCTTTCTTTTCAAAGGGGAGGACATTTTTTAAATTACAGAAAGTTAATCCATCACAAAGAAACATTCTGTCCCTTGACCCCTGAGGAATGAAACAGTCAGTCCCTGCCTCCTTCAGCTTGTTGTTGCTGAAGCTGGAGTTAGATAACTGTAATTGAAATTCATTTGTTCTCTTAGCAACCCCCTCACTGCCTTACAGCTTGCAATGTGACTTACCTAACCAGTCCAAGATTTACGAGTTTGGGATCCCAACCATCTTTCCATCTCATGGGACTAACTATCTTACTGGGAACCATACAGCAGTTCCAGCTATGTATTCATTCTGATGTTCTTTCCCCCACTGGGAAAAGTTGTGTTTCCTGAAAAGATAGCTAGTAAGCTACCTACTTGGAGCTGAAAGGGACTGGCTCCTCCTCACTGTCTCTTTATTGCCCTCTGGCAAGATTTGGGGAACTCCCCTTTTGAACTAGAATCTCTTGATGATCTGATCTCAGAATTCAGAGTCCTCAGTCAGAATTCGATTGGCTCCATGGTAGAAGCAGGTTTTCTAGAATATGTTTATTTGGTTCTCAGAAGCTTCCTGCACTCAGGAAAAAAGTCAAAGACCCTAAATAAGGACATTTCTTCTAGTGAAGGAGCAGAGAAGCTTGACAGGGCATTAGTACTCTCAAACAGCCTTATGTCTTTGTTCAACTATGACCAATGGAATGCTCTAAAAGAAGCCACTTAGAGCCAAAGAGCTGCATAAGACCATTAGTTGAGAAGTAGTAGGTCAAGAATTTGATTTTTATCCCCCTCAGATTTCCCTTCCTGCTGGCCCTAGGGAGACACTGGCAAACTAGAATTTTTTTTTAAATTGAAATATTGTTGATACACATCTTATGTTGGTTTCAAATGTGCAACACAGTGGTTCAACAGTTTCCCACATTATCAAATCCTCATCCTTGTAGTGCAGTTACTATCTATCAATGTGGAAAGATTAAACTAGAAATTTTATGGACTTGATTGTTGGAGCTATATCTCTTAAGATTCTACATCACAATGCAGCCAAATCCTCAACTGGGAGGCAGCATGTGGCAGTGAAAAATATATGGGTTCTAGAGCCAGACAGACCTGTTTTCAAAACCTGGCTGCACACTATGAAAGAGCTGGGCAATCAAAGGCAAGTCACAATCTCCCTGAACCTCCGGAGGGAGGGACAATCATACCCACCACACAGGAGAAGGAAGATCATTAAAGGCCCAGTCACAACCCATCACATACAGTAGGCATGCAACAAATATTGGTTCTCTCATGTCTCCTTCCTGAAATTTCCACCCATCTGTTGCAGGCTAGTAGAGAAGCATATGGGTCCCAGTTCTACTATTGACGAGCTGTGAAACCTAGGGCTGGTTGCTTTTCTAAGCCTCTGTTTCCACATCTCTAAAATGGAGAAAATGATAATGCCTAGTGAGTGAGAATGTGAGAAGTACATTTTAAATACATAAAGAGCCTTAAAAAAATAAGTGGCCTAAGCTGCTTGGAACCTCTGAGAGGCCCTGATGTTAGCCCATATGGACAGACTAAGCAAGAAACAAAATTCAGTGACAGTTATAGCAAAATAACTGGAAAAAATAACCAGGAGGGAGCTTAGCCAAAAGGCTAACAGTCTAGGCTGGAGTCCCACTGCCTGTGTTCAAATGTAGGCTCCAGTATTTTAGTAGCTGATTTGGGGGATATTATGTACTTTATCTGTATCATGGTTTCTGCAGCCATAAAATGAGGATAATAAAAACCTACTTTAGGACTGCTCTGAAATACCTGGCTCATAGCAAGTGCTCTATTAATATAACTGTCACCATCCTCATCATACCATGTGACTCATGAAAGGAAAGCTAGGTTGTAGTCAAGAATGAAATGCCTTTTTATTTTCTGTGTTGAGACAGAGGCCATCAGTTATCCAGCTGGCACAGAGAGGCTACCCCTCGGTTTATCCAGTGTTTCTGGGGCCTGTCTGTCGGAAGTTCAATGGAGAGGACGTAGTTGGTGGAGTGGCCTGTGGTGGAGAGGATGCCTCTGCGAGCACTTGTTTTGTAGACTGGACACACATAAATGTTCTCATGAAGAAACATGGCACTTTCCCCAGGTTTCAGCTGAATGATGGGCAGTGGGTCATAGAGGATTTTGGGGAGAGACTCCCCGATCTGCATTGTTTTCCTGTCCCAACGGGCACCTTCTAAGAAGAGTCCTTTTATGTAGGCCCCATCTTCTGGGTTATGCTCCATGACTGTTTCTTGTGTCGTTACCTGGAAGAAAGAAGCTAGCATTCTGCTACCTGCAATCTTCCTCAATGGGGCAGCCTAAAGAGATTGGAAGAGTGCAATCCGGCTACAATGTCTGCCTTTCCCAGGGTGCATCTCCCAAGATATTGGGGCTTCTGTGATAATATTCCTGCATGCCATACATGATGCAGGTCTGATTCCTAATCAGCATGCTGCCCTTATATATGGTGGGCATAAAGAATACACTATAGTATAAGTCAGGAGGCCACATTAATTGTAACAAGCTTAAGGACCTTGTACAATTCTTCTCCTTCCTGGACTTGCAGCTACAAAGTGAGGTATTAAACTCAGATGCATGCTAGTTAAACAGTTCCAAGGGGAGAAACAAAGTATTGATTTTTAGTTTTTATCAGTTTCTGGGGTATAAAGACTCCATCACCATCAATTTCAGGCTATCAACTATTTAACAACCAGCTCCACCTGGCTCTAATGAGTTGATACAAGCCAGCTCCAGCACACCACTGTTTAGATTCAGAGGTGGAAAACTTGAATTTGTTCAGGTTAGCGTAAAACATAGCGTAGGTATAGGAAAATAAGGAGTGGTGGGGATTATGGTGAATCAGCAGAAGCTCCATTTAAAATCATTCAAATTCGGATCTTTTTGTTACCATGAATGGACTATTTTTCCCATTTCTACTTATAAGTACTTATTGCTGAATAGGTAAAGGCTATTGATTTATATACATATATATAACCAGTATCCAGTCACCTTACAAATTCTATTAATTCTTATGGGTGTGTTTTTAGAGTTTCTTAAGGATTTCTATGTATACAATCATTTCAACATCAAAAAAAGGATGGCTCTATATTCCTATTTTTATCCCAGTTATTTTATCTTATTAGATTGATTTTGGCTTAACATTGTCTTCAAAGACCCATCAAGTTAAGTCCATTCATAAACTAAGATCTAGGGTAACCAGTCTGTGACCTCTGGACTAAATGATACTTCTTTCTCTCTGTATATGGACAGCGTGATTCTTGACTATTAGCCATTCCTTTGACTTAACTCCAAGCAAAGGGCTACCGAAGACCATTAACATCCTTCCAAATGAAGAATTCACCATGTTGAATAAACATCATGGGAGCATGCTTTCATTTTTCTTGTTATGATGATAGCAGAGTTTTCCTCTGGAAAGTTCTTTTTATATACAGAGACAAAGCTTTGGAAATCCTCTGATTCTGTTGGAAATAATTTTTGGAGCTATTTCAAGTCATGCTAAATACTTCATTTGTACAACCCTCAGGAGCATTTGGGCCTTAAGACAGCCAAATGTTTGAACTCATAAGGAAACATGCAAGATTGCTTTCTCTGTTTGGCCCCTTGATCTGGCCTCACCCAAAGCACCCTCACCTCAAACTCGAATCCAATGTGGTCAATGGGGATGGTGTATTTGCGGGCATAATTCTGGGAGACACCCGTCAAAAAAGACTGTGTGAAGTAGAATCCAGAGATCCAAAAGACCACAGGGGGCCCATTGTCAATCCATTCCTGGAGAACCACAGAAATAAAAATTCAGTATCAGGAACACATCAAAGATATTCAAAGGCAGGTAATACAAATGAATCCCATTGAGAAATACGCTTTTCCTCATTTTTCTTGAAAGGCAGCCTTCTTGTCTTTCCTTATATTTTCCGACTTATGAAATGAAAGTACAGGCATATATTTCTACATTAAGAAAAGCACAAGTGCAAGCTGGTGTCTGAGATACAATAGAGAATGGTGGGGACTGTATTAGTGGAGAATATATGCTTTGTCTAAACTAAGCAGCAACTATATACTCCAGCAATAGTTGCCACACAGGTCCTTTTTTTATTTCAGGACAAACATTTGATTTTATATGTGTAGTAACCCAATGTTCACATGCTAGCTTAAAATTTTTTTAATTACCAGGTAGCCAAACCAAATATATCAATCAGCCAAATTTGGCCCATGAGCCACCAGTTGGTGACATTTATTCTAGTTCCTATCCCTACCTCCATAGGCTCTACTCTTCTCAGGATTTTGATAAGTCTGCCTCCCACCCTCAACTCTGGGGACTGTTTTTGGTAGGCTCAATCCAGGATCCATACCTGCCTG